TACGGATATCGTTCCTCATGCGGATGTGGTAATAGGAAGTTTTGTCTAACAGTAAATCATGACGCGTGCATTAAAATTTCCGTGCGTGGAAAGTCTACGACAGTGTTTCCAAAATCCGTCTAATACTTCCTTACAGTAACAGTACACGAATCCTAAAACCCGTTGTAGAACTTGGGTACACATGACAGAAGGAGTACATTGATCGGTACAGCCGAAAGTACTGAGATCGAACCTGCATTCGTTCACATGGTTCTCTGTCCAAGTTCGTAGATATATTTACAGTAATTGATGAACGTCAAACTCAGATGCTTGGCCCGAACACTTGGACTTTGTGCAGAACGAACACACACAATCATGAAGAATTCCATTGTTCCATTTGCCTTGTACGAATGAAGTGTTTTGCACTCTCAACATTGGCGTGCCTTGTGATGGCTACCACTGATTCACAGCCTGGAATTGCTGGTGGTTGGTCGACTGCAAATGTGGACGATGTCAAGAAAGTGTACTTCGATGCCGTGCAGCAGTCCAAGGCCTCCGCCAACACCACCCGACTCTGTGCAACAGAATTCACGTCTGCGCAGTCGCAAGTGGTTGCCGGTATCAACTACAAGCTCAATGTGAACGCGTGTACCGTGAGCTCTGCGAATGAAACGACAGCATCGTGTAAGTGCCCCCCTTCTAGCACCAAACCGTACGTTGTGAGCTTGTTCGCCAGCCTCGATGGGGTATCCACTATCTCAAGCATTGACAACCCCCTCACCACGACAGCACCACCAAACATCTCAAGCATTGACAACCCCCTCACCACGACAGCGCCACCAAACAACAACGTCGCCGCGTCTATCAAGTCGGCAGGGACGAAATCCTCCTCCGCGCCCGCCATGGGGCTTGGGTTCATAGCAGCATCGTTGGCTACCGCTATTGTCTCCATTATCTGAACCAGTTAAGCTGTCATGTTACTAACACACTACTGTATACCCCCTATTCACTGAGCTGACGTCGCAATTACTCTGGCCAGCGAAGCTTTGCGTCGCCGTTAAGCTTCGTGAGAATACTCAAATGAGTTAGATGATGAAATGGGGTAACAGTAAACCGTCGGGAGATTCCGTAAAACTAGTCGGATAATTTGCATAGCTATTCTCGATAGCATGAATACTGTATTCCGACAAGATAAGTCGCAAATCGGTACAGGGAGATGCGGGAACAGGACACAAACACATCACTGTGAAGAATTAAGGGCCCTTGATTCCTTCAAATCATGGTGTACCATTGTCGAGGTGGTACATGCACATTATTCAAGTTTCCACGTGTAAGTCAACCAGGAACTGAATCTGCCACTTCCACAGAAACAAAACGGCGTATATATGCGAGCTACAGTTACATAAGATTATTCGCTTGAACATATTTATGCGTATTTTTATTCATCCCCATAATTATTTACGTTTTGCAAAACGATCTATACATCCTGCAGATTGTGCAGGCGTATGTACTGTACATGCGTGTAAGGCGCGATGCAGGTTAGCGATTTCTCAATACATACTGCGCAATGGGTCACGAAACTCTTCACTCCTCATAACAACAACTAATACTATCAAGAACACCTTAACTTATTGCATGTCGCCTGAATCAATACCTGTTGAGAAAGACAACTTCGAGCTTGCCCAATTCGTCGTATTTCAAGAACAAGCGTGTACATGCAGGTAAGATGTCTTATGCCAGAGAGAGCTGTGCATGCGTAGACCATGCTGCATAGACTGAGCTAGTAATGGACTATCTTGTAGTATCAGTAGGATTGCGCTAAGTATCGCACGGTTCGAGAAAAGCGAACATCGTAGTTCGTCCATTTTCGATATATGCATATCATCCGCAAATGCACTTCAGTATCCGGAACTGCTCAGTTTTCAATGTAAAATGGCGCGAATTTTCTGAATATGCAAGCACTACACTTGCGCGATAGAAAGCGTATCAGTACAGCAGCCAAAGTCCCTCTCCAATAAGTTGGATGACTCCGAAGGAACTCCAGAATTTGCTTTCGCCACCCAGAAATGCCTCGATTTTTTGGCCTTAACGTTACATAACTTCGTGTTATGATGAGTTTTCGTCCAGTTCCCGCATCTCCCTGCTCGTTGTACAGTAGTTATGTTTACACGTGACCAAGTGGCATTGCACCTTAGTTCATGTTACTGTACCCTCACCATACCTACGACTTACCCGTACAGTATCCTAACGTTTGTAGGTCTTTATTCTTGTTGTAAGGGGAAGTTCCAAGCAGTTTTTAGAAATAGCATGAGCCAATGAAAATCGATTTACCTCTTTTTTTTAACGATTTAGATAAGGACCGCTTTTTCTACTTTTGGTACAGTCTAATACTTCGAAGTAGGACGAACACACCATTGGCCTCCACAGGGCCCTCACGTCGAAACGCCACAAATTACCGGTACGCCATTAGATCCAACATATCTCAAAATATGGGGGAATTGCCTGAGTGCCAGTTATTGACATTTAACGACTACTTAATCGGGAAGGAATGCTCCCTTGTACTATACAGTAGTACCAGTACACGAGCCGAAAGCCCCTTGTAGAACCTTGGGTGCGCATGACAGAAGGAGTACATCGATCGGTACAGTAGAAAGTACTGAGATCGAACCTGCATTTGTTCAAATGGTTTTCTGCCCAAGTACGTGGATGTATTTACTACTGGTACACCTTTTTGCGGTTAATTCAGCTTTTTTTCATTATATTTCGCTTAGCTTGCAGTATACTAGAGTACAGTATGTCAGATCTCCGATATATGCAAGCTTATTTCGGTTACCACCATTTAATTTCGTGGCGACCACAAACTTCGCGCTTATATTTCACCAAACCAGGGAGTGGTACATGTATAATTCCACCAGCGTATCGTTTAATTTCAGTTTTCGTCAATATATGTGACCCAAAATCCGATTAATTTCGCCAAAAAGCCAAACCATTCCTACAAGAC